CGGGCGGTGTTGGGAGGGACTCGTCGCTCCCATGTGACACCGCTGCTGCGCGAGCTGCACTGGTTGCCAGTGGCCTTCCGGGTGCGCTTTAAGGTGTTAGTTACCACCTTTAAAGCGCTTCATGGCATAGGACCCGGTTACCTCCGAGACCGCCTTCTGCCGCAGATTCCCTCCCACAGACCGGTACGCTCCCACAGAGGGGGTCTCCTCAGGGTGCCGTCGGCCAAGCAATGTCGGCTGGTGACCCCCAGGGGGAGGGCCTTCTCTGTGGGTGCCCCTACCCTCTGGAATGAACTACCCCCCGAGATTCGGATAATTCCGGATCTCTTTACCTTCCGTCGCGCCCTCAAGACATGGCTCTTTCAGCAAGCGGACCTGACCTAGGGAGGATTTTATATTGGGTTCATTTTTAGGAATTTGGAAGACACAACTTTAAAATTTGGTTTAATTCGGTTTTATAGGGGGGGATTGTATATATGCTTTGGTTTTAAATATGTTGTGCGCCGCCCTGAGTCCCGCAGGGAGAAGGGCGGCATATAAATTAAATTAAATAAATAAATAAATAAATAGATTGACAACCAGAGCACATGGTATGGTACTAACACATCCAGAAATATTTCCCATTGGTTGAATCAAAATGATTTACAGGCGGAGCAGATGAGCACCTAATACAACACCCAAAAGCATTTTTTATTGGTCAGCAGCCAGCATGACACAAAACTGACCTGTTTACACAGACCAGGAAATAAATCAATACCAAAACAAACTAAGTACCCTTAACTCCTTTTTTGTTGTTGTTGTAATACAAGGAATTTGAGGCTTGCCCCTTCTTTTTCTAGGCTGATTCATACCAAATAGACTGCAATTGCATTTTACCACTGGTAACGAAGTGAAGGGGGGAAAAAAGGCCTATTTTGCAAAGAGACCTTTTCTGTTTCATTTTTCATATCTAGGCATTCAAAGGCAGGAAAAAGCAATTAACAGAGTGGGGGGATCTGACTGGGATGTCACACAAACTCATGGTAAATCAGCAAATATATCTGCAGCCAAAGAGGAAGTTAGTAAGAAAATTGTTTATTGGGGATTTGAGTGGCATCAGNAAATAAATAAATAAATAAATGTTATTTCCCACACAGAAATGAATCCAAGTTATCTATCATAATTGAATAAAAGCTCCAATGAAGAAGAATTTCTCTAGCATGGCTCTGTGTCATATCATCCTTTTGCTTGATTTCCAATAACTGGTAAAAGAATGGATCCACCTGAGTTGCAAGTATAATTTGAAGCTGTTCTGAAAGTCTGCTCTAAATTATTCTTTCAAAACCAAAAGTTTGGAAGTATCGTAGTCGCAATAGTTGATTCTGTCTCTGTTTATCTATATATTAAGATGGCTGAAATCTACATTTTCATAACACCAGGAACTTCACAGTAGTTGATATAGACCTTCTCTTACTAGACAAGATAAAGTGGCTAGA